CACAGCTCAAAGGCATCAATTCTCCTTCTGTCCTCCCTAGTCATTGTCCAGCTCTCTGATGAATAACAAGTGATTGCAGAGACCATGGCCTGTATCAGGCGCACCTTCGTCTCCAAAGAGACACCATTGCTCTTGAGTACTTTAGAGAGGTCCGTAACAGCAGACTTTCCCATCGTGATACGTTTTTTGATTTCCTGGCTGCTGGTGCTAAGACTTTTAAAATTATCCCAGATAACGTAGGTGGTCTAGGGCATGCATTTTATTTTCTTGTATTTGGGTTCCTTGTTCCAAAGCTGTCAAACTGGTTTGGTTTTGTTTGTTTGTTTGCTTTGCTTTGTTTTTTATTACACCAACAGTATTGAATGCAAAACAAGGTACCAGACTAAATCCAAAACAATATATAGTGCAAAAATAGCATTTTAATGCATTACAAGATACATTAATCTATAGTCTATGCTTAGCAGCCTAAAAGAAAACTCTTTTCCTTCATATACATGCAGTATAGAATTTATAAAATACTGTTACACATATGACTGAATTAAAACCCTAATACAAAGAACTCATTAGGATGAATCACAAAATTGCCATTTTTATTTAAATTTAAAAAGTCCCACAACCCAGACTATTATCAACAATTTGTTTTGGCTCAACACAAGAAAACTCAGAGAGATTAAAGAAATACCAAGTTGCAGAAGTAGGCCAGCACTCAGACCTTTGCACTCCAAGTGCAATGCTTATTCCCCCAGAGTCACAGCAATGGTTTAAGTTTTAGTGGTCAGAGTAAATAAACAACTTTTTAAAAACATAGTTTGTTTTTTTTAAAAAAATCCTTAAGTGTGTAATTCATGAACACACAATACAGTTTTAATGGCTTGTCATATCACTTCCTGTTTATGAAGATGTGATTTTCAATATTTATTCATTAAATTACTAGACCTAGGGAGCTCTGGTGGCCTAGTTAGATAAGAAGATGGACTGCAACCCCAAATGCATGCAGTTCGAATCTACCAGCTGCTCTCCAGGAGAAGGATGGGCAATCTCCTCCTGAATGATGACCTGCCTCTAAAAATCCCCTGAAGGGTCAGCTATGGGTGGGTTCTGACACACCAGTACACAACACCACCACCAGTGGCTAAGAGGGCTATGGTGGCCTTGTGATGAGAAACTGTTCTGCAATCCCAAAGGCCCACAGTTCAAATCTACCACATGCTTTGTGGGAGAATGCTGGGAAATCTCCTGCATGATTCGCTGCCTCTGAAAACCTATTTGAGGGTCAGCTATGAGTCAGTTCTGACTTGGCAACAAACAACAACAGTAGTCAAAAGATTGAATTCCAACCAATAAAGATTAAGATCACAGGGCCACATGTTCTCATTTCAGCCTGCCATTTCCCTTCATAGGACTTTAAGAATTACTGTTAACGATTTTCTTCTGCCTCCTCCCCTCACTGGATGGTAACCACTGTGATCAGGACTGTGCTTGCCATAGTAACCTTTGTATCCTAGCACCCTACACGATGCCTGGTGCCAATTGTTGAATAAATTGAAGTACTTACTTAGGTGTAAAATTTATTTCCTTAAACTCTCCAATGCCAAGCTGACCTTCAGCTCCAGCTCCCCAGGCAAAGACCCTTCCTTTGTGACAAACTACCAGGGAGTGCTCCTTTCCACAGCTCAAGAAGTCAACCTTCAGAGTTTCAAGGGCTTGAATAGGTTCTGTAGGGAAAACAAACAAACAAAACCATAAAATTATTATTTTTGTTATCGTTGTTGTTTTACTCATAAAATTACTGATTTGACTATTGATTATTGATTTAAGGCAGTGCTATCCTTTAAAATCCTTCAATTGCATATTAGCTTCTGTTTGACTAGTCACCTGAGGACCAAGAGTTTAAATCCAGCCAGGGGTACCTACTAAGAAAGATCCGGTGATTGCAGCTAAGAAAATTCCATGAGACCTCCTAAAACTTAAACCCTTCTGTGTATCAAAAGACTTCATTCAGACTTTGGTGAGCAGAGGAAGGGGGGAGGTGAGGGAATTGGGAAAGATCCAATGGAGACTTGAAAAGATAGGGTAATAGTGAGTATAGATCAATGGTGATCTCTTAGAAAGTTGGGAATGGAAATAACATTTTTTCCAGCAATCCCACTACTTTTAGGATGTTGTTGTTATGTGCTGTCAAGTCACCTACAACTCATAGTGACCTATGTATTGTTGTTCTGAACCCTGCCCTATTCTGACACACCTATCCCCATTGCCCCAGTCACTGTATCAATCCATCTCATCTGGGGTCTTCCTCTCCTGCGCTGTCCGTCCACCCTTCTGAGCATGATGTCCATCTCCAAGGACCGATCTTTCCTGGCCACGTACCCAAAGTATGTGAGGCGGAGCTTCAAAATCCTAGCCTCCAAGGAGAGACTTGGTTTTATCCTCTCCAAGACAGACCTATTTGTTTTCATGGAAATCCATGATATATTCAAGAAGTAAGAACTGTAACAAGAACTGGTATATACACACATTCATGTTTACTGTTCCATTATTTAAAACAGCAAAGAGGTGAAAATAATCCTCCAAGTGTCCATCAGTTAATGAATGGATGAAGAAACTAGGATACATTCACACAATGGAGTATTATGCAACAACAAAGAACAATTCTTTGGTGGTAGTTCTAACCAATAAGTAGCTCCACAGGCGAAAGATGGGTAATCTTCTATGTGGTTACAGTCTCTGAAAATTTGTTGAAGAGCCAGGTATGAGTTGTTTCTGACTTGATAGCAAGGAGAGAACAAGGTTTTAAACACCTTACTATAATCATTGAGTTTAGAGGAAACTATACTGAGTGACATAAGGTAGTATAAAAAAGAGAATTATAAAAAACTAAAGAAAGACTACTCACTATTATAAAAGGGTAGGAAATGTTTACACATTGAACCATTCTTGAATAGTTACTAGGGATGGGAAAGGTGAGAGAGGGAAGTAAAAATTAGTAAACAGAGAAGTTGATGGAAAGGCAACATACAATACGGAGTTAATAAGACATCACGGTTAATTAATGGCATTAATTAGTCATTAACTAATTTGGTTTTGTTTAAAAGCAAAATGTATATGAATGACTGAGTAAAAACTCAGTATGACTTGCAAGTTTTTATTCACATTTTTAAAAATGAAAATATTTTTTACAGAGAAAGAAAACTCCACGGAACAATTCTGCTCTTTAACACTCAGTTAACAGCATCATGATAGATGGTAAAGAGATTGAGATTGTTGATAGCTTTCATTTACTTGGCTCTACAATTAACACTCTTGGTACCAGCATCAAGGAAATTAAAAGATGAATTGCATTGGGAAAGTCAACTGTCAGAGACCTCTCCAAGGTACTGAGGATCAATGATGTCAGTCTGGAGACTAAGGTGAGCCTGATATAGGCCACGGTCTTTGCCATTACTTGCTATGCTTCAGAGAGCTGGACAATGACTAGTGAAGATAGAAGGAGAGTTGATGCTTTTGAGCTGTGGTGCTGGAGAAGAGTATTGAATGACTGATAGAACAAACAAGTTCGTCCTGCAGAGGGTGAAGCCAGGCTGTTCCTTGGAGGCAAGGATTCTGAAGGTTCGTCTGACACATTTTGGACATGTTGCAAGAGTGACCAGTCCTTGGAGAGGGACATCATGCTTGGGAGGGTGGAGGGACAGTGCAGGAGAGGAAGACTCTTGATGAGATGGATTGATTCTTTCACTGGGGTAATAGGGATAGGTGTAGTGGAGACAGTGGGATTGGCAAGGTATAGAGCAGGGTTTAGGGCTGTTGTACATAGGGTCACTATGAGTCACAAGCAACTAGACAGCACATAACAACAACAACACTCAGAGTTGCTCTGAGTCAAAATTGACTTGCCAGAAATGAGTTTGGCTTTTATATTTTTCTTCAAAAGAAGGATCTTTAGATTCCTTGTCTCCTCCAATGAGCTTTCCAATTAAGCCTATGCTAAATGCATACAGTCTTTATGGCTTCAGTGACTGGGGCCATAATGGGCGCAGGCAGGTGTGTCGGAGATGGAGAGATTGGCACAAGATAGTACAGAGTTTAGGACTGTTTAGGGTCGCTATGAGTTGCAGGTGACTCGACGGCACATAACAACAACAACAACAACAACCTGCTATATAAAAGATTGGGCACTCAAATGTCCAACCACAATAGAATGGATTAAGAAATGGTGGTACATTCACACAATGGAATACTACACAGCTCTCAGGAGCAATGATTTAAAAAATTACTACATAACTTGAGAAGGACTGGAGAGCATTATGCTGAGTGAACAAACTCAATCCCATAAGGACAAACACTGTTTAAGACTTCTATTGCAGAAATAGGAGGATAACTAGTAAAACATGTATGAGGATCCAACGGGGGATAGGGTAGGGACAGAGGGGTGAGAATGAGCAGTGGGGAGATCATAGGGTCGCACAATTTGGTGGATGGAGGGAGAGATGGGTAAAAGAAATGGGGAAAATCTGGTGGAGATCTGGAAAGAGAGCTAATGGTGGGCATAGTTCAATTCTAATTGATTTTATAAATATAAAACATAATGAACGGGAATGATTGTATGACACATAGTGTGAATGAAGGATAGTGTGAAACACAATGTATATGAACTTTGTAAGCAAACCAATAAAATATTTTTTTAAAAAGGTATATATAAGTGGATTGTGATTCATAGTGACCCTGAATGATGGTGTAGAAATGCCTCATTGGGTTTGCTAGGCTCCACTATTTATGGGAGCAGAATGCCAAGTCTTTTCCCCCAGGAGGCCACCTGGCCAAAATGCCAAGTGCTTAACCAATGCACCACCCCGGCTATCTACATTCTAAACCAAACACATGGTAAATTTGGTTCTGTATCCACTCACAGTGACTCCATTGGGTTTCTAAGGTTGTAAATCTTAAAAGGAGCAGACTGCCTCACCGTTCTCCCCTGGGGTGAATGATGGAGTGTTGTTGTTAGGTGCCATCAAGTTGAGTACGACTCACAGTGACCCATGAATAGCAGATCTGAACCCTGTCCTATCTGGAGCCATGCTCACAATCCCTGACAAGCTCAATCCTACTGGGGCAGTCAACCACTGTTAATCCACCTGGTTGAGGCTCTTCCTCTCTTTCACTCTCCCTCCACTTTGCCAAGCATGTTAGAAGGCCAGCCCATAATGCATTATGTCATGAGGGCTCCTCTTTCTATATGATCCAAAAGCAAATTTGCTGCCATGAAGTCAGTCCCAACCACAGAGACCTTCCACTGTAGTTCAAGCCCATCTTTCTCCTGTACAGAGGCCGGTGGACCAAATATCCTGACCTTTCATAAGGATAGCAAAACTCAGCAAAACTGAGGGCCAGCAGAGGCAGACCTCACTTGATAACAATTAGAGGAGGAGGAGAAAGATATTCATAATATTACTATATGTGATGAAAAAGCAATATACATCTATGAATAAAATAAAGGTTTGATAGGTTATTTCTGCACAGGCATTTACATATGCTGCAAGTATGCTCATGAACAAGGTAGCACAAAAAAGAGCACAAAGTTATGATGATTTCTTAGCCATAACCAAACTCCTTGAGGGAATTCATCACTGGGACTGAAAGCTTAGGCCCACAGTCTCAGAGAACATCAAGGTCAACTGGCACAACTGAGACTTTAAAGAAAATCTTCTACACCCTACTTTGGTGAATAACAACTGAGAGCTTAGCTTGTGAGTGATTACCTAAGATGGAAATTTTTCACTTCTCATCTGGAGCAAAGTTGAATAAAGAAAGCCAGTGATGCCTTAAAGCAATTGGTTATCAATCATGACCCCGAGACCAGATGAACTACATGGCACCTGGCTACCACTATAAACCACAAGAGTGAGAAAAAAACATGGCACAAAAGTCAAGATTATAAAAAAAAAAAAAAAGGAGTCAATTTACTGGTATAAAGTCGTTGATGGGTGCCATCAAGTCAAGTACAACTCATATGAACTAGACACTAAATTCACACCTACTGAACACATTCCCATGACTCAGTTTCAATCCAAATAATGTATTAGTCTACAAAGTGAGACAGAGACTTCTGAACAATCAACCTCTAAAGGTCTGGTGATGTAGAATGCAGGGAGTTTTGTGGCTAATCCAAAGGTATCATCTCTTGGTTGTTCAAAGCCACCTGCAGGAGAAAGCTGGGCACACTCCTCCTGCGTGCTTTACAGCCTTGGAAACTGAACACAGGGTCACTTATGAGTCAGTTCTGACCCAAGAACAAGCTGTTTACATTGTTGTTGTTTGGATCAAATCATGGTCAGAAGGAAGGGATGCGAGGAAAGAGAAACTGAAAGGGGAAATAGGGGAGATGGGATGTGAAATGTCATGGTTGGGAATGGAATGAAACAAAAGGAACACTATTGAATGGAAGGTTGATTTGCTCCATAAATCTTCACACAAATTGCAACTTTAAAAAAAGAGAAATTGGAGGGACTGGAGAGCGTTATGCTGAGCGAACTCAGTCCCAGAAGATAAATATTGTATAAAATCATTACTGTAGAATGAGTATAAGGATCCAAAAGGGGTGGGAGAGGTTGGAAAGAGAGGGATGAGGATGTGTAGGGTGAGGGGGGAAATTAATCATGGGGTTGGTTGTACAACTTGATGGGTGGGGGTGGGAGAAATGGAAAGAATTTGTTCTTAAAAACAATGTATTCAAATTCTGTAAATAAACTACTAGAAAATTTAAAAAATGAAGACTACGTTACACTTGAAAAAAGAAAACTATAAACCAATGTTAATCTGCAGAGTTGTAGAAACACTGCATTGATAAAACTGATTATAGTTTTTATAAAGACTAACATATAAAAGATCAAAAGGAAATGTATCAGAATGTTAGGTGTTTTCTTTGTTGGAATTATAAGTGATTTCTTTTATCATGTTTCTATAATAATAAGTAACTTTTTTTAAAAAAAAAGCTGTCTTTTTTTTTTTTAAGCCGTACTTTTTTTTTTTTTAAGTGATGCCCCCCTGAGTATTTCTAAACCTTATAGGTGTCCAATCCACACTCCACGTTTGGAAAGTCTGGCTAACTCCTCCAAGAGAGAGATCTGACAGGCAAGGAGAGGAATCTGGCGGATGGACCGCATCTCTGAGGAGCACGGGCTAGGTTGGTTTCGGGTTTCAGTTTCGCTTTAATTGGAAACTGAGACGGCTCTGGAAAACGAAACTCAGGCGGCGCTTCGTTAGAACCCAATGCCTAGTTCTCACATCTCGCCCACTTAAGCAGCGCAAGTGGCCCAAGGTTTAAACCAGCTGGGCTGCTACGAGAGGGGTCAGGCGCTGGAACCCACCAGGCACGTTCCCGGGAAAGATTCAGCGATCTGATCTCCTGCAGATTACAGCCTAACAAATTCCTTAGGGGTCACTGTGGGTCCGAACCAGCTGGAGGACACAAATAACTGTCCCAGGGTCCCAATACTCCACCTGCCCAGCTGGGTACTGCGCGGACCGCACTGGGGGGTCTTGGCACTCACCGGGTCGGTCTCGGTGGGACACGCCTCTCTGCCCCAGCTGGCCCTTGTGGTTCTCCCCACAGGAGTGGACAGTCCCATCGCTCAGCAGCAGCAGCGAGTGGCTTTCTCCAGAAGCCGCCTGCAGTAGCCTTGCTCCGTGCGCTGCGTCCCGGCGTGGAGAATGCGCGGAGCCAAAGCCCCAGCAGAAGTACATCGCGCTGTGCGCCTGAGCCTGCGCCCCGATACTGTCCATTCCTTCCCAAACAGGGGCCGAAAGGACAGTGATGGGTGTTCCCAGGTTCTCCCAGAGAGCAGAAAACTGGGTGGCACTGAGGTCTCAGCCTACCTTCTGATTGGCTCAGTGCCTTGTAACGTTCTCATGAGGAGCCCTCGTGGCGCAGTGATTAAGAAACAAACTGGGCTGCTATCAGGAAGCACAGCGGCTCACACCACCAGCTGGTCTTCCCCGCGAGAGAAAGATATAGCACTCCACATTCTTAAGATTACAACCTTGGAAACCGAAGGGGACATTCTATTATTTTAGAAAGTGACTTTGTCAGGATCCATCCGAAGCTAAAAATTTAGCCCTCCTTTGGTACTCTGCCCCTTGCAGACCTCCCACAGGGGATCTTAATGCTGAAAAGCTGTGAGGGACCAGGAAGACGTTGACATCCAGGCTTAGCCCCCTTGTCAGCTATGAGAGTCTGGGCAAGTTACTATATAATTCTGTGCTTTATCTACTACATCTGTGAACGGTGGGTTGTTACACCACAATTCGAATTAGAATAATGCCTAGAGTGCTTGTAAAAGTATCTTGAGTGTATTAATTTAATAAAACAATGTATATGAGTGACCATTTGAAACAACGAGAATGAAGGAATGTGTAAATACAGTGTACATGAATGATACACAATGCATACGAATTTTGTATGCAAACCATTATAAGGTTGTTTGTTTTTTTTTAAAAGGGGGGGGGAAGAGGAAACAAAAAGCACTTAAGCATCTACTCAGTTCCAGACACACACTGTTGTTTGGCGCTGATTGCATAGTAGTGGGGTGGAGGCAAAATTCTTATTCTGTTTCTATGCTCCTGAGGGAAATAAATCAGAAACAGATGAAGACATAGTACATAGTAGTTAGAATCCACCAGGTGCTTTGTGGGAGAAAGATAGACAGTCTCCCCCATGTGATTAAAAGGCTCTGAAAACCCAGGGGAGGATCAGCGACTATACCACATTGAGCTGAATTTGTTAAGTATCAAGTAGTGAGAGTGTTAAGTATCCAAGTGGTAAAAATGGGTTTGGAGCTGAGTACTGGCTCCAAACCAAAAAGTTGGCATGGATTCTACTACATAATATTGGTTTGATTTTTAGTACTGCTTTTATAATGCCACATAGCAAAGTGAAGAAAAATGAAAGCTGAAAGGAATGAAGGAAATATTCTTTCTGAATCTTGAAAGGTTTTCCTCATAAAATGGCATTTGAAGAGGAAATGACATTTGAAGGAAAGCAAAAATGAGGAAACAAGCCATATTTTGCCTAGTGGTAAGAAGCTGCACTGCAATCCCAAAGGCTTTAAATCCACCAGATGCCATGCTGAGATGAGTAGTCTCTTCCCTTAGAATTTATTGCCTCATAAAACCTGCTGGAAGAACTCTAGAAGTCCTAATCCACAACATAAACAGTCATCCAAGCATTCTGAAAAATCTACAAAAAGGAGAGGAGAAAATAGATGAATTGGGACCTTCTGAGAATCAAGTCCTTATGCACATCCAAAAATTTCTTCAACAAGGTAAAAAGGGAAGCCACAGACTGGGAAAAATATTTGGTAATGACATGTCAGACAAGGGACTTATATCTAGAATTTATAAAATACTTGAGCACCACAACAAGATAAAGGTAAATAACCCAATTGAAAAATGGGCACAGGATATGAACAGACACTTCACCAAAGAAGACATTCAGATGGCAAACAAACACATGTTCAAAATGAAATGTTCAAAATCCCTTGCGCTAAGAGAGATGCAAATCAAAACAACTATGAGATAATCATCTCACCCCAGTAAGAATAGCAAAATTTAACAGAACAGCAAACAACAAATGCTGGTGAGATTGTGGAGAAACTGGAACCCTTATTCACTGTTGGTGGGAGTGTAAAATGGTGCAACCACTATGGAAGGCTGTATAGCATTTTCTCAAAAAGTTTCAAATAGAAATACCATTTGACCCAGCAATTCCACTACTAGGAATATACTCTAAAGAAACCAGAACTGCTACCCAAGCAGATATATGCTCAGTGGCTTTGTTCACAATAGCAAAGAGTTGGAAACAATTCAAAGGCCCATCATCAAATGAATAGATAGAGAAGCTCTGGTATATTCAAACAATGGAATACTATGCTGCATTGAAAAACAAGAAACTCAGGAAATATTAAAAAAAAAATGGGTGATCCTGGAGAAGATTACACTGAGTGAAATATCTCAATCACAAAAAGACAAATACTGCATAATGCCACTGTTATAGAGAGGACTTATATAAGGATTTGGGGGGAGACTGAGAAAGAAGGGATAAAAATGTATACTGCATTGAAATAGATGACGGAGAGGACTGTTTAAAAGGGATATATGATTAGGAATTATTGTCATGACAGGAGTTCAGATCGAAGGCTGCATAGTAGAGTGAACTTGGGGGAGGGATTGTGTAACAATGAAAGAATTTTTATTTTGCTTTTCAAAGAGAAGAGTGTACTGGGGGAGGGGAGAGGTGGGCAGGGAGAAAAGTGCAACAAGGAATGAATGTAAACCCAAAGTCTCTGTAAATTTTCATTAAAATTAAATTAGGCACTGGTGGCCTAGTACATTGCAATCCCAGCAGCAGGTGGTTCAAATCCACCAGCTGCTCCATGGTAGGAGGAAGGACAATCTCCTCTTCTGCAATTAACTGCCCTTGAAAACCTGCTGGAGGGCCACCTACCAGTTGGTTTGACTCTATGACATATAACAACAACAACAACTGCACGTAATGTCTTAGAGGTGAGGCGTTGTGCTGCCAATCCAAAGGAACATAATTCGAGTCGACTAGCTGATTCTTGGGAGAGAAATGGGTAATCAATCTCCTCCCATGTGACTTGCTGCCTCTGAAACCCACTGGAGGGTGAGTTTTGGGTAAGTTCTTACTCAACAGATCATAATGACAATTATATCTAAGAGTACAGGGAGGAAGAAAGCAAATGGAAGACTGGAACAAAGAAGTGCGTTTTGGTTGAAAGTAATCACTCTCCTTTCTGGGTATAATTGGTAAAAATGGAAGCAAGAAAACTAGTTAGCAGAGGTTGCTGTAGGTGGCTGGGTTAGAAGGATGATGCTTGGACTAGGGTGATAGCCTGGGATGGAGAAGATGAAAGTTGTTGTTGTTGCTATGTACCTTTGAGTCACCTGCAATTCATAGCAACCCTGTATATAACAGCTCTGAGCCCTGCTTTATTCCGAGTCAGTTTTACTGATTCCAACACACCTACCCCCATTACCCCAGTTACTGTGCCTATCAATCTATCTCATCCTGAATCTGCCTCTCTTGTGCTGTCCCTCCCTCCTTTCAAGCATGACGACCTTCTCCAAAGACTTTTCCCTCCTGGACACGTGTCCAAAGTCTGTGAGACAGAGCTTCAAAATCCTGGCCTCTAAGGAGAAATTTGGTTTCACCATCTCCAAGACAGACCTGTTTGTTCTTTTGGCAGTCCCTGGTATGTTTAGTACTCTTCTCCAGCACCAAAAATTAAGGCATCGATTCTTCTTAGTAATGACTAAGTATGACAGAAGAATTGAGAAGACCATGGCTTGGATCAGCCCTTAGTCTTGGCACTCTAGAGAAGTCCCTCACAGCAGATTTTCCCAGTGCAACTCATCTTTTGATTTCCTAACTGCAGGTGCCAAGAATGCTGATTGTGGATGTGAGCAAGATGAAGTTATTAACAACCTCAATCTCTTCTCCATCTATCATGATGCTACCAATTGTCCTGGTGGTGAGAATCTTTGTCTTCTTGATGTTGAACTTCACTCTATATTGAAGACTACAGTCCTTGACCTTTGGCAGCAAATGCTTCAGGTCCTCCTTAGGATAGTTTGAAAGTTGGAGTTTACAGATTTGCTCATGGAAAGAATAAGAGGGTTTAAAAACTAGTCCAAGGTTGACCCAAGCAACTGAGTGAAGGATGGGAGCTTTTACTCAGCTGGGGAATCCTGAGAGAAAAGCCGTGGGTCAGGAGTCAGTTTGGTAATAAGTTTAAGATGCACATGTAGCAAATAGCCAAGAGGAAAAATCCGTTAGATGTGCAGAGACAAGGCTGCCTTTATAGTGATGAAGGTTAAAGCCAGATGGCTGAATGAAATGAACAGGGAGTGAGTGTGATAAGAAAACAGTAGAGTTGAGAGGACTGATCCTAGGGACTAAAGTATTAAGTATTAGGAAGGAGTTGTTACCAGAAGGTAGGAGGACAACCAGAAAGAAGTGGAGTACACAGAACAAGCATGAAGGAATAATCAGCTTTGCCAGTTGCTGTAGAGGAATCACGCAGATGAAAATTGAGAATACTTTTGTGGTGCAGTTAATGAAATTGGCTGTAGACCAAAAAGTTGTAGTTTCAGGTCTACACAGAAATGCCTCTGAATAAAAGCATAGGTCTGATGATCTCCTTCTGAAAAATTTGCCACGGAAAAGTTCTATTCTGACACATTTAGGTTCACCAGGAGTTATAATCAATTTGACTGCAAACAAGTAATTGACGTCTAGGTTGCTCAAAACAGAGGTTATTGGCAACTTGGACAATATAGTCATCTTCAGCATTAGAGTTTTATTTCTTATATTAGCTCACCTCTCTTGAACATTATCGTTTAAGTTGTTATGTAACAACTTGAATTGACTTGACTCCTGGAAACTCTATGCACAACCAAACCAAATGCTTCCCAGCCTACGGTCAGTCTCATGATCTACTGTGTATTGGACTGTTTTGATTGCAAGGACAAATTACTGTTGTAAGAAGTTGTTATCATGTTTGTTCTAAATCAGAATGAGTCCATGTGCCCCGGAACAAAATCCTGCTCTGTCCTGCACCATCCTCTCAACTGTTGCCATGCTTGAGGCTCTGGTGGTCCACTGGTAAGTCGTTGGGCTGCCAACCCAAATATTATGTGGTTTAAATCCACCATCTGCTCCATGGGAGAAAGATGGGCAGTCTCCTTCTGTGTGAGCCATAACC